CGCTCGCCCGCGGACTAGGGCGTGGCTGGTCGTGCTTGTGACAGAAGCCGCTCAAGACACAGACCGTTCTGCATTCAGGGAAGAGACGGAGCCGGACGCGGACCCGTGTGAGCGAGCCACCGCGCCGTGTCCTCAAACCCAAGGATCCCGTGCTCAGCGGACGGGTGTGGACGCAAACTGCGAAACTCGCGTGAAGACGGAATTGCTGAAGACGATTTTCCTGTTTCCTTTCCTCTTTTTTTTAAATCTGATTTGTGCCCTGTGCTGCAGTTGTTGGAATAAAAGTTTTATTTATTGCATCGAGTTGGGTGTGGCGCCTCTTTCCAGCCCTGCGTGTATCTGGGTGTGCAGACGGCACTGGCCCACACCTGTAGCGGCCCCCGCCCAGGTGACAGTGGGGCTGCGTGGCCTGACCCAAGGACGCCCCGCCTGTGCTGGGCTGCGGTGACTGCCACTCCTTGCAGGCGCCCTCGGGGGCTGGAGACCCAGCTCTTGCCCTGTGGCTGTTGCCACGTGCTCCTGGCAGTGTGCTCCAGCCTGACGGCCCTCGTCAGCCTCCGTGTCCCCTGGGAGTCCCCAGTGCCACCCGCACCTGCAGCCTTTGTGTTTCCTTGCAGCACCAACGTGGAAGTGGCCAGGTTCTGAGCCGCCCCGTCCAGAGTCAGTAAGTGCCCGGCGTCCTTGTGCTGGTCAGTCTGCATTTGCAGTGGCTCTGGACAGACCCTCTGGCCTCAGCCCGCCGGGCAAAGTGGGGCCCGGGGGTCAGCCAGCCTGCTCTTCTGGGGGCTCCTGGCCTTTGCTTCCCTTGGATTGCTCCTCGGGCTCACGGTTTCCTTTTTCGGGGCGCTTGTGGGACTGACGTGCCGCACCACCTCGTTGCCCGCGGCCCTGCCCCCGCTGCTGGGTGCGGGTCTGGCCTGGCCCCCTCTGTGGGTTTTCCTCCTCCCTCTGCGGGTGCTTTGGCCACAGTGAGGGTGGAGCCTGGTGATCAGCTGCAAGGCCATCTCGTGGGGCCCCTTTGGCTCCGCACCCCTGTGGGTGGACTGGAGGCCCTGGCCTGACCGGCTCCCGGGTAGGTGAGTGTCGCAGCCCTGAGGAGATGGGACCCAGGCACATGTGCCCTGCTGGAGACGGTGCAGCAGCTCTGCTGCCCACTCTGCCTGGCAACCTGGTCTCTGCCCCGATGTGGCTCCACCGGGCTGTGCCAGACTTCCCAGACCAGGCCCGCCTGATGCCCTTGCGGCTGACCGCCTCGGACCCCTCCTGGTGACGGTCCTTCCCTGTCCTCGGAAAGAGAGCACCAGCGGCCACCAGGAGACGGGGAGCCCCTTTGCTCGGCCTTGTGCCATCTTTGTCATTACCCTGCGTGTTCACTGAGGGAGTCGCCCTGTGTGGCTGGCACCTGGATTCTTTTTATAAAGGGTGGTGATCGCTTCACCCCACCAGGCGGCCAGGCCACCCCAGCAGACAGGACTTGCTCTCCTGACACTGCTTTTGTGTTGGCGAGCTGCAGCGTGAGTTCTGGAAAGTTCTGGAGACAAGTGCTCCTGAAGTCTGGGAAGCATGTAGAAATGCCTGTGGCCGACCCTAGGCCACCCCCTTCCCTGCCCCCAGGATCCTGAGTGGCCTGTGTCTCCCACCCAGAGCTGTGCAGGTCCCACCTCTGCTGCCCGTGGCCCCTCCAAGCTGGTGGGACCGAGTTGTCCTCGCCACTCGTGGCACCAAAGGGACAGAAGGCTTGGGGACTATGTCCTTAGGTGTAGGGCAGACCCCAGGAGCACGCAGCACAGTACCACCAGCTAGTGTCCCGCTGCACAGTTGCCTGGTCAGGACAGTGGCACCATGTGTCAAAGGCGCGTCTGCCTGGTCGAGGGACCTGCCTGGCTTCACTGGAGCCTGCAGCGGGGGCGAGGGCTGAGCGCGAGAACGACGCACCTCCAGGACGCGGGCTCCGCGCTGGAAAAGCCACTTGAAGAGAAAGTTCGGGAGGACGCGGAAACCTCTGTGACAGTCGCCCTCGGCGTGCACACCGCCCGGGACTCGCCGAAGGACGGAAGCCACGTGCGTGAAGACTGGGCTGTGCTCGGAACCCTGTTCCTCGTCCCCAAGTGGATTCACACAGGATCAGAGGGTCCCCGACAGCCACGGCCACGTGTCTCCTGCGAGCGGAACCGAAAGCTGCCCAACCACAGGGGTTGGCAGGGGCCGTGGGGAGGGGACACCGTGCTGCACAGTGTCCCTGAGGGCTGCTCTTGGGGCACTGCAGTCCCCTTGACCTCTGTGCCTGTCATCCTCCCGGGGAGGGTCCCGGGAGGGTCTGGCTCGGGCCTTTTTAGCCCTCCCTGCCCGGGACTTCAGGCCTGCTGTGCCGCCAGCCTTTTCTGTGTAAATGCCGCCGCCGGCCATGTCCATGTCCACGTCCGTGTCCTCGCCCGGGGGTCCCTAACGGAGTGGCTGTCAGGGTCAGAGCTGTGCCCTGGGAGCCCCCACCGGTGGACAGACCCTGGACAGCTGACCGGAAGGGCGCTGTGCCCCTGGCTCCGCGCTCTGTGCCGGTACAGGCGGGGCGTGCGGGCTCGCGGTCGTCCACCCACAGTGCTGGGAGGAAGCCTGGCCTGCAGCCCGCCCGGCAGTGACCAGTGTCCACAGGGCGGGAGGGTCTGCAGTGGGCCTCGGGTGCCACTCCTGTCTTGTTTCGTCATCTCCGCGTTGACCCCTGCCCCTGCCTGGGATCACACAGGTGCCTCCCTAGGGTTGCTCATGAGTTCCAGAGGTGATAGGCACCCTTGGGTGCTGAAGAGTGGGCGCGTCCCACTAACCGGGGGTCTCTGGCCTATGCCTTGAGGGCTCGGGAGGGAGTGGGCTGGGAGGCCTGCAGTGTTTGTGGCGGCTGCCTGCCCCCTCAGAACCTGCAGTGTGGACGGCTCCACGCCACTGTGTGTGGGAGGAAATGACTGGAGGCCCTCTGGGTGGGGGCCTGTCCGGCCCTGCACTCCCCCTGTGGCCCAGCTGACGCCGCCCTTTGCCAGTGACCCTTTCTGACGAGAATTCAGGTGTCAGGCAGGAGTGTGGTGTCTGCTGCCCAGACCCACTGGCCCTCTGCGCCGGCTGTGGTCAGCACAGGAGCCGCTCTCTCTTCTCTGGGGCATGGGGGTTACACCCTTCCCTCTGTTCAGTCCCCAGTTCTAGGGGGACACACCTCTGTTGCCAGCCCCCCAGGATCTCCCACCTTGACACTGGTTGGGGCAGTCGATGGCACGGAGCCCTCCAGAACCACAGTTAAGGTGGCAGCAAGGGTGCAGGCCGCCCTGTGTCCTGTCCCAGGGCCAGACGTCATTGGCCATGGTCGACGTGGCCTTGGGAACCCCCAGGTGGCCTCGCCCGTGGTCGGCTTGGCTGAAGCCTGTCCGCACAGATCAGAGCCAAAGAGGACTCCACGTGAGCAGATCCTGGGCCCCAGCGGGCCAGGGAGCGGCTTTCCTTCGGGGCTGTGACGCTCTGAACGAAGATGTTACTGAATGATGCTCGACGCCGTCTTGGAGACGCAGAAGCCGTGCCTCGATGGGCCGCCTCCGCTCAGCGGTCCATCCTTTTACACACTCAGGCCAGAGTGTGTCAGTTCTTTAGAAAACACCAAGTCCTCGGCACAACAGGGCAGTGTCCCTACCCCACGTGCTCTCTCCCTGGGGATGCTGGACATGCCCGCAGCCCATGCGCCACCCACCCAGCTCCCGTGGACGCCGGCCAGAGGTGCCTCCCGCCCCAGGTAACGGCTCCAGAGCCGAGCACTTCACCGGGAGTGTGGTCCTGTCCATGCCAGCCCCATGTGTCCCATGTGCCATCCGTGCTGTTCCCCCTGGAGCTGCCTGACGTCCCCCGGCCCGCTGTCCTGTGCTGTCCCCGTCTGGCAGGTCCTCCTGAGCCTCCAGGGACTTGAGGACAGGCTTCCGCGAGGACCAGGCTGGACACGGGCCCTGTGCTCCTCCCGTTCCATTTCCTCTTGTCTGGCCAGTCCATCTGTCCGTCGTCTGTGGCCTTGGGCGTGCAGGGGAGGGTGTGGCTATCCTGGGGTGACAGGTGGCCGACCCCTCACTGGGGCGGGTGGTCAGCCCCTCCGCAGGGGGCCGCAGGAATCACCCCCACCAGTGTGCGTGCGCCTCGGGCCTGTGGCGTCAGCCTGGGGCAGGCCAGGCCACCCTCTGGACGCACGGTCCGGGCTGTGTTGACAGGCATCTCCGCAGACACACTCAGTGACTGATCCCGGGTAGATGGCGCTGGGCCGCTCAGCCTTGTGGGTGGCTCCCCGCCCCAAGGCAGATGTGGGGGAAACGGAGCCTTCCCCCCGCCCAGCCGCCCTGCCCTGGGAGGGGTGACAGCGTGGGGGGTGGCAGAAGCGGTGCGTCAGGGTCAGCCGGCTGTGGCTAGCACCCCGCAGGCTCTCCCGCAGCCCCGCTGCCCCCGGGGTCCGGGTGGGCGCTGTCTGCAGGCCGGGGCCCCGGGGGCACTCAGACCGCTCTCTTCTCTCCTCAGGAATCCCTTCACCAGCGTCCAGCTGAAGCCAACGGTGACCAATGACAGGTCTGCCCCCGTCCTCAGCTGACGGCCTCTCTGCACCCGCTGCCCCCGGCCCTCGCCCCCCCCACCACACAGAAGCTCTCCTGCTACGGTCCGCAGCCCCGTTTGGGACGCCTTCCCATGCTCGCCCCCGGCCGGCACTGCCGGCCCCAGTCCGGCCTGGGCTGGACCCTGGCTGTTCCTGTGGACAAGGCACCCAGGCTGGTCCGTGGGGCCGTGGAGCCCAGCAGGGAGGAAAGGACATGCTGTCAGCTACGATGGAAGGGAATCCCAACCCCCACGATGCCCGAAGCCCCTGTCTGGTCAATAAACAGGCTGCCCACCTGTGCCCAGCTGTGATCTGTCGCCTGCGGGCCAGAGGCCCGGGGCGCAGGGAGGGAAGGGCCTGCCACTGTTTTGGAAGATGATTTATCAACAGCAGTCACTTCCCTGCACGGAGTGGGGAGATTCGGCCCAGGCACACTGTGGGCCCAGGTCACTCTCCACCAAAGTGTGCCAAGGACGGCGGCAGGCAGCCACCTTCCTGCAGCTCCCTCCTCGTGGTGAGAAGGGACTGTCCCCCGAGACGGCCGGCAGCTGGGGCTCCACCCCTGCATAGTCATGCCCCCTTCTGCCCAAAACTTTATCTGCAAATCTCCAAAAAAAAACACACGCTTAGCATGAAGGGTTTTTTTCTTAGCTTGATTTCTCTTAAAAAACAAGGAACAAGAAAACCATTGCACCAGCGTCCTAAGCCTCAAACTAATAAGAAACAAGAAACACAAACCCGAACGCGTCCCCACCCACACTCCCAAAGCAACGATAATCTTACATCTCTTTGGCAACAATAACTTAAAATCACCCCATTTCCATTTGCTTGGACAATAGCAGTTAAAAAAATATTCCCTGTGCTGCCCTGCTCCCACCCCCTCCCAGCTCCACCCCGTCCCCGGTCCCCTTCCCCACGGGCTGGAGCCCCAACACAACCATGGGGGCAGCCCCACTGTCCTCTGGCAGCTGGCCTGGGTTAGGCAGGATGCTACGACCCACACCAGCCAGCAGCGGGCACCTCTAGAACGGGGCCATGTCCGCAGGGGTGTGGACCACCAGTCCCCCGTCGTCTAAGCTGTCCACCTTGGCTCCAGCAGGAGGACCCAGGGGAAGCAGCCCAGACCCTGGGCGGGGGTGGGGCTCACGGGTCCGGCCGAGTTGGTGAAGGCGGAACACAGCCACAGACTGTGAGGTAAGGGTGTCGGGCCCATGAGCCCAGGGGCCTCTTCCGGCCTCTTCACTGAGCAAACCCAGAACCAGGCGAAGGGACCAAAGGAGCAGGGAAGGCCATCTCAGCAGGCCTGTGCCCACTCTGGCCTGCGGTGGGGACGCGGCATCCTGCAGTGCAGGGCAGGGCCTGCGAGGACCCCCAGCCACGAGCAGATGCCTTGGCCTCAGAGGCCAAGCAGCCTGACAGCAGTGGCCAGGGCAGAGGGGGCAGCTGAGGGTGGGATGCCGCCAGATCTGGGGCCAGGGTCACCCCTAGGGCGTAGCAGCAGACCCGAGTGTCCAGAACGAATCCTGCCCCCAGGGTGGCACCAGACTGGCCTGCGTTGCATGGGCTGCCGAGGTGCTGGAAGCTGCTGCGACCACCACCAGGACCACTCTCTCGGTGACCGTCCTCACTGCTGCCTGGGGTAGGGCTCCAAGTGGGGGCCGCCTGGGCCTCAAGCTTCTTTACAGCTGCCCCCAGCACTTCCTGTGGGGCCTGGCAGACAGGAAGTGCCACATGAGCATTCAGTCGGCAGGGACAGCCAGAGCCCCCTCCCTCAGGATTTGCACCTGGCCTCGGTCCCCGGCACAGGCCCACTGACCAGCGGGAGCCACAGCCCTCCAGCCCCTCGGCCTGCCTGCCCTGGCGGGAGCTACAGCCATGCACTGCCAGGGCCTAGGCCCAGGGTTTGTCCTCAGGGCCCGACAGAACTCAACGCGCCCTTCTGAGTCAGGTGGGAAAATGGGCTGGGACAGGACTGGGCTGGCCCGGGTCACGCACTAGCTTTCTGGTGACCTGCTCATTTGTTCAGATGTCCATTCAGGACACACTGTGCCAAGGACCGACCAACAAGCCAAAGGCAGCAGGGAAGGGGCCGAGTCTGCCTGGGGGATGAGGTGAGCAGGAGGCATTTGAGCTTTCAGAGAAGCTGAGCAAAACCCAAAAGAACTTACGTGGGGTGGGAGTGAGGTGGGGGATGGGCACCTGGCAGGGTAGAACCCTCCCGATCTGAGGCCGACAAGCTTGCAGCATGGAGGAAGGAGCTAAGACCTTGAGTAGGGCCCACCAGGGCACCTAAGCCACCACCAATAGGTGCCACTGGGCAAGAGCCCTCAGACCTGAGATGTGGGGGTTCCCGAGCCAGCAGGGGGCAGTGGATGAGGCAGACCAGCAGGGGCTTGGGAAGGTTCTGGAGGGAGAGGCTGCCTCAGGTGTGGGAGGCTAAGGTCAGGCGGGGTGATGGCGGGGAGCCGGGGGGGAGGCCTCTGGAGGAGCAAGAAGAGGGCGAGGCCTGAGGGACTGGCGGCGAGGATCTCAAGACGGGAGGCGAGAGCGTGGCCCGGCCAAAGAGGCCTGCGCGGGACCCAACTTATCCCGGCCAGCTTCCCCGTCTGAACACTGAGCTTGCACCGCAGACTAGAAATAACCAGCGCAGGGCCCGAGCGCCCAGCAAGTGCCCCTCCCGGCCGCCTACTCCACTGTCCCAACGCAGTGTCCTCTGCCACCCCCTGCCGCAGCCTCACCTCCCACGGACCCGGCGTCTGAGTCGGAGACTTGCGTGATGGAGAAGCGGGACGCGGGCGCAGGCGACACCGTGAAGCGCGAGTAGGGGCCGGGCGCGGCCGCCTTGGAGGGCGCGTGTGGGGCGGCCAGGGCGGGCTCGCCGGAGGGCGTCAGCGGGAAGCAGTGGTCCCACTCGAAGCCGCCTCTGCCTGCAAGGCGCCGGGCGGTCACTCCGG